TTGATAGCTCAGCTGGTAGAGCACTGCACCAGTATTGCAGAGGTCAGGGGTTCAAATCCCCTTCAGGTCTGACTTTTTTTTTTTCAGGCTTTTCCTTTAATTTCACAACTACTTAAGTTGTGTGCATAAACTGCCATGATCAATCATGTCTTCACATCTTTCTCCGCAGTTCAAATATATGGTCTTTCATATATTCATTTGTTAAGACACCTTATAAAAGATACATGACAGAATTTCACACTTAAAAAAAATACAGCTCAAAAATCCAAGTTTATCCACTGGGAAATAAAAACAAGTACAGCCTAGCTTGAGCAGCCAACAAGAAGGAACTGGGAAACTCTGATGGGAAAAATAATATATTATGCTCATATTTTCACCTCATAGCAAGTCAGACTCTATAACAGTGGTGATAATCAGCCACAACAAAAAGAAACATGGAGCTTCATTTTCTGCTTGACATTATAATTATAATAATTAGTTGACACCAGAAATATACAGAGAATGAGAACCTGACACCAACAATATTTACTCACCTTTCAATCACATGAGCAAAGATAACCTGCCCATTTCCACAAGCCCCAGCAAGCTGAGTACCATCACTGGACCATGCAATGTTGAATATCGAGCCGGTATTTGGTTTTTCCAACGTGTAGGACCACTAACAAAGAATTACACAGACCTTTACTTGGTCTCAAAGATTTACACCATACAAAAAGTCCAGTAATCTCACTGTTATTTTAGAAATGTGCAAACTAATTAAAACAAAGCTGCTGCTTTTCTCAAGCAATAACTTCTCATACTTGCAACTCGCAATGCTTACCCCAGTTTTGTCACAGAGCCTCAAAGTATTGAAAGAACCAACAGCAAACAGTTCACCTGAATCAAAATAATTACAAACTGGTAAAAGTGGAGGCACACAGCTAAATTAATATTAAGTTAATAAAATTATACAAAATATATAAATATATCATATAAATCTGGCATATGATTTGAAAATTACTGTCAACCTTGTAAAAATTATTTCAGGGACAGATTGCTATCAGACATCCTTTTCATGTCACAGATCTGAACTTTCTTATCTGTGACAATCTTTAGTTATTAAGAAATAGTTACTAAATGTATTAGTTTCAGCAAACTTTGACGACATTTCACTCACCATCAGGGGCCCATGAGATGCTAGTGATGGGATACTCATGTAGCATACTGGAGTACAACACTCGGCCATAACTGTCCCACACCTGCCAGGATATTAATTTGAAATATTATTAAAAAGGCTAATTCCAGGGATCAGTGCAGCCAGATGGCTCAACAAGTTGTCCAGCGTTTAAAGTTGGTTGCTATAACATTAAGTGACTAGAAGTAAATTGTGCCTTGAACCCCTGATTGGTATGCTAGTTCAGCACAGGTTAGCTCCCAACATTTTAATTAGTTGGCCTAACCCTTTGCTGATACCCACTTATTATAAACACAGTTGTTTCGAGAAAGGTTGTCTAACTTACAAAGGCATAAAAGCTTATGCCAGCAATGGCGAAAGGTTGATCGAAGATAATGGTGTTTCAGCATGAATGACGGAAAAATAATGATTTTACTTGTATCTGGTTGCTCCTTCCTTCACACTGAAAGTGCCGTAAACTTTGATCAAACAACAGCAAACCATCTCAGCCTCCACCCACAATACTTTCAGCATGTTTTTCATGCTTCATTGCTAGGAAAACCTTTCTCAAAACAGCTGTATATTTTGATCCTGCTAAACAGTGTCAAGAAACACTGACTGAAAGAGTATGTACATGTACTGTGTTTTGCCCAAAAACATGATGATAAACTGCACCAAGGCTAATAAGATCCTCAAGCAGACGTAACAGCTAATTAAGGCACTGCCCCCAACAATCTTCAAAACATTTCAAATCAATTATTATGTAACATAATTCTAATTTATGACTCCACATCAAGGTTAATGACTGAATATTGCGATTTGCTGTTTCTTTATCACTGAACCTACTGAAGTCTCCTTATGTCAGTATTTCAAGAACAAACCTTATATTTGCAGTCCTCTCCACCAGAGATAATTAGATTATTGATAGGATTCCAGTCCACTTTTAACACAATCCCATCATGACCCTTCCACTGAAAAAAACATTTAAAAGTACAGTGTACAGATCCATGATTATATTTATGTAGTAATTTATTGTCTTTAAAGACAATTACATGTAAAATTAAAATTAAATTCCTGGCAAAACATTTTTAGCAAGAGCTTGTAGTTGACTCTATAACCGCAAATGGTACATGTAATGGTCGAAAACTTCATATGAAGGAAAATGGATAAAATGGAAAATGGATTTATTTGCCATGCCTGATAGCCTTGTACAAGATCATTATGGCATTCCCATTCGCTCAATCAGTTCTTTAAGCTTCAAATAATAAACAGAAACTACAGTACAGTGGAATCCCGATTTCTCAAATCCTCAATTTTTTAACTTTCTGATAACTTGAACAAAAAGTTGTTTCCCTCCCATCCAATGAGCACTGTAATTTTACCCCTGAATACTTGAAGTACCTGATTTTCTAATCAGTTTTTGATTTCCTTGTGGGGTTAAAAAAAATTGGGAATTCACTTTAAATCTTCTTTACAATGACAACAATGAGAACAATGACAATAAGTATACAATGATGTATGAGTTCCAACTTGATCATACATGTACCTGGACTGGCTTTGCAGCAGCTTGTAAAGGTTTAATAACCAGTTGCTTTCCACTTGTGTGTAGGATGTGGTCTGAGTCAGGACTCCAGGCAACAGAATACACTGGGGTACCTGTAGACATCACAGGATTATTACAGAATCTCAACCATTCAAAGTGATACTTGGACAAAACTCAATTGTAAATTTTAAATACACTATAGGTGCATTCTGCTAATTAAGGTGATTCTGTCATATGCTGGGAAAAAAAGGAAAAGGTAAGGAAAAACATATGTTGGCTAATTGTCATGAAAATGACTTGTTTTGTCTTGACTTGTGATGTTGTCCCAATCTTGGGAAATACTGTTATCAACAAAAGACATTCATTTAACCAATCAGTCAATTAATCAATCAATTAATCAATCGCTCCTTCAGTCAATCAACCAAGTCAACAACTTCATCACAGTGTCTTGTCTTCTAGCCAGCCATCAAGCTTACTAATCAGAGACACTGCATAGTGTAAACTATAAATAATGGCCTGCGCAATCCAGAGTCCATCACACTAACCCTTAGGAAAGTTCACCGTGATAAAAATGCATGTAACTTTAGTTAGTGGCTTTTCTTTGAATACATGTAGTTACTTGATGATATAAACTAAGAAAGTTTGAGAAGCACAAATAAACAAACCTGTTTGAACCAAAGTTGACCGTAACATGCCACTCCTGGACCAGATCTTCACTTGACCATCCTCTCCAACTGAGCAAAAAAGATTAAAAACATGCATGCATGATCAGTGTGAGAGAAACTAGATTTAAAATAGTACTAAGATAATCTTGGGTCTTAGACTGAGCTTGTCAAGCGTGCTCTACCATAATTTTTGACATCATTTGGTAACTGCCATTTTTTT